CCATATCTGTAATGCTACATATTAAATGCAAACTATAACGCATATCAACCCTTTTTCTGTCGGTTTTTGCGTTGTCAACGCGTTGGACTAGACAATTGGACGGAAAAAAGCATAGTTCCACTTTGGCGACGAATGGAAGACACATCCACACATCGCCATGGTTGCCCAATTCAACCGGATCTATGCCTCATGTCATGCCAAAGTTGATTGACGACAGACGAAATCGCTCCCGAACGGACGGTTGGGAAGGGTTTGGAGACTCTTGCGTAGCAGAAATGGTGTTTCCAACCTTACATGCAAATGGAATACAGCAACATTCAAATGTCGGCTGAGCCGGCCTTCCTGTCAGCAGCCCAGCGGGACTCGAACCACGACAGCTCAGCGTCGACCACCACTCCACATTGCCACGACTGCCGTTGGGTGACAGGGCCGATGGGAATTTCAAGCAAGGCCAACATTTATTTTACCATATCGCATTTCATGCTGGCATTGTCAATGGGGCAATATCTCATTTGCCATAAAGATCGACTATACTACTTACTTTTCGCTAATAAGTAGGATGAGAATAACTATTATGAAATTTATATTATCACCTTAAACCAGACAGTGTGAATACATCTTATATGTGATATTGTAAAACGAACCACGTTGAATACAGGTTAAGCCCACATCAGGATTGTAGGTGTGCATTTGCAAGTTGAACGGACTTCTCGAGTTTGTGTGTGTGTGTATGTGTGTGTGTAGGCCAGGCTTGGCTTCACACTTCTGAAAAGGGAGTAGTAGATCGCAGAGATCAAAGATCGAGCTCAAAGGAGAGCAAAATGTGCCAAGAATGGTAGCGGGGCTTTGTGTTCGTCCTCTTTCTTGTCAGGCGGTGCATCAAATGCACTTTTGCATCTTGTCAAAACGTCTGGTCCGACAAGAAGTGAAGCCGAATGATGAAAGGAATTGCGAAGATTCGTATGAAATGGCCACATGACGATGTGGCGGGAGGGACAACGGGACAAGGGTTGCGAGTTGGGTGGGACGTGTCGCAAAGAGGGTCAGCCGATGTGGTCTTCATTGAGGCCTTTGTCTTCGATGGCAGCTCTTCAAAAGCATGACTTAAAGTGAAGCCTGTTCGACACATGCTTGCGGGCTCACTCTTGCTGCGGGGCGTCGGGGGAGACGGCCTTTACCCTCGTCGCATCTCTCGCCTCTCCCAGCCGACCATTGAGGGCGGGTTCAGAGACAAGCACACATCGGTCAGCACACTGACGGACACACATCGGTTCGCCGGTCTTATCATTCCACACCCCGGCCGGACTGACGATTTTATCAATTTGCCCCATCTAATGCCGCCGGGTTACACTTTGCTCCGAACTCCGTCCATCCGATGGGTACATTCTATGTTTCCCACTGAACTCGCCAGCCGTTGGTGCCGGTGCAAATCGGTACGAGCTGGCGGAATCACAGGCGCCGTAAGGGTGGGAGAGTGAAGCATTGTGGCATTGGGCCGAGTTGGCCGGACGAAACGCTGTCGATTGCGGCAAAGGTGGGAAGAGGGTGTGATTTCGTTTTCACAAGCGAGGGTCACCATTTGCGAGGAGGAGTCGAGTGGCTGGGCTACCGGATCAAGTGGAGGAGCCATAATGCCCAGTCGTCGAGGGTCAGAACCCCGCCAGGGAGGTTGGGCTGGCAGAGGTGAATGGGAATGGGTGAGAGGAAGGAATGTGGGCCAGAATGTCTGGCGAGTGGTACACTAAGTCGGGGGGGTAAGTGGCGGAGTCGAGCATCTAAAGTCGTCTCAGTAACGACGGGACGTGGGCACATGAGAACGAGAGAGCAGTGATGCAATAATTTATTGCAGATATGAAGAAAATACGAGATTTAAAGGGTTCATTGAAGATTTATTGTGATTAGGCATTGAAATTGACTCATTGGTGTCCGAAGGAGGGTTATAATCACGTGATTTTAAATATTTTTAAGTAAAAGTTGATTGGAACTAATGAGTGAAATGTAATTACTAACGTCAGAAGGAGGATTATTGTGACATGCCGTTCCATTTGTAATGAATTTTGTAAACGGGCTTGATGTTGTGGGGAAA